AGAGTGAGAGTGAGAGTGAGAGTGAGAGTGAGAGTGAGAGTGGAGTGAGAGTGAGAAGAGAGAGAGAGAGAGAGAGAGAGAGAGAGAGGAGAGAGAGAGAGAGAGGAGAGAGAGAGAGAGAGAGAGAGAGAGAGAGAGAGAGAGAGAGAGAGAGAGAGAGAGAAGAGAGAGAGAGAGAGAGAGGAAAGAGAGGTCCTAATCTACATAATCGGACGAGCCTGCTTCAAAAAGTGCCTGCTGGGACACCACGGGTGAGGGGTAGGCCTGGGGCCCCATGTGGACGGGGCCCGGGCCCCCTGGGTGGATGGGACCCGGTCTCCCCGTGGATGGGTCCGGGGGCCGGGAGAACGGGCCCCGAGCCCCGGGTGGACGGGGCCCGGGGTCATCAAAGGCCAGTGCGGGGTCGTCAAAGGCCAGTTCGGAACCTCTGAGATGGTGTGAGCCCTTGAGGCCAGCGTTGGTCCTTGAGAGGTCAATGTGGGACCCCTTGACTGGTATGGGCCCTAAGAGACATGTGTGGTGCCAATGCGACCCAAAATAGACACAACTAACGACATGGGGCTCTCAGAGACTAGCAGCGGCCCTTAAAAACCTGCACGGGCCAAACAGATCGACAGGGGCCCTCCGAGATCGGCAGAGAATAAGAAGATAGCATGAGGCGCCTATGATGGGCAGGCCCGGGCTCTCAAAGATCAATGTTTCACATCCAAATCAGCTGAACATGGCGGCACTCTGACATAATTTTCGGGTGACCTATAGCAGCTACGCAGATTCTCTTTGTACACAGGATGTCAAATCGATGCAGCCGAAGGTACTGAAAATTTCGTGTCGATACGTCCGGCGGTTAGGAAGATATTGAAACATCAGCATTTTATCAAACAACAAAACGTTCAATAAAAACAAAGGACACAATATGGTACGAAAATATATTTTCTTGTGATACTGTTGCATGCTTACCAAATATGAGAGGAAACCCCAAAAAAATAGCTAAATGTCGCACCAAAGGAATGGTTTAACTTTTTCAGTAAGTGTTCAGCTAGCTAAAGCAAAGTCTATCATAGCGGTTGTTTCTCACAAAAACACAATTTTCAGGTAGAAACATTCCACATGGCGACACATATATAAATAAAAATAAATATCAATTAACTGGGCTACATATCTACCCCGATGTTATCCCCCAAGCAGGCAGTAAACTTGTGACACACAGAAATCAGATCACAACGTGCTGAGCACACGTTTCCGCGTGACGCGTTACACTGCTTCTCAGGTAACTTCAAACGCTTGCAGGACCGTCTATAAGGACCGTCTACGCTTGCAGACCGTTTATAATTGATACACACGGTAAAGTGAATCATTCTTATTAATTGTAAAAGATAGCCTCTCTAGTCACCTCATCGCTAAGAAATATTGCCAGCACACAGCTACTCTGACCAAAAATAAGCTAGCTTTAAGAATTAACTAAAAAGGAACTGTCCAGCTACCCTATTTGCAGCAGACAGAATCGAATCGAGGATAATGAGCAGCGGTGTAAAAACTGGGCACATTATCTGACAGTGTTGACCACAGCACTAGCCGGGTTCAGTCACAACAGGCTTTCACAGTCTCGGTCGACACTGCTGTAACAATGGCAACAATAACGGCCGAGGTAGACCAGCATCGATCAAAATACTGCGTATGATTCCGTTCACAGCCCAGTCCCACGCCCAACAACCAACCAAACAATGTAGGAAACCACGAGCCCACACACCCCACTTATTACCTATCCACTAAATCACCACTTTCCGCGTCTGACTTTGCGTCCGGCCCACTGTCGCTGTCGACTAAACCAGCTGCCAGGACGTCACTCTCATCGTCTATGACCCGCGGCTCACTAGTCCGTCCACTCAGCTCGCTGCTCTCCACTAACGTCCCCTGATCTGTGACGTCTGTCCTACTCCCAGCCGACACATGGGTGGGTTCACTCCGTCCCTTATCTGGCTCCTGCTCCACCATGTCTCTCCTGCCACCAACCGACACCTGAGTGGGCTCATCGTCAATCACCTGCACCAGCGGCTCAACCAGCTGCGGACCAGAAGCGCCCAGACGAATCTCGTCAATAGGCAGCTCCTGAGGTTCGCGATGTGCGCTGGGTGTCCGCAGTCTCACCAAGTCATCACCGTTGAAGTTGCGGACGAAGTCGTCCTCCGCCTGTTCGTGACGCGCGGTGGCGGGGCTGCGCTCGGTCTCGTCGCCGATCTTTTGAACGTACTCGCGGGTCGCCCACACGTACACATCCAGCGTTTTCTCGGCGCATTCCGCGATGAAGCGCACGAAAGGCCGCACGTCACCCTCATTCGCCAGCTGCAGGGTACGGTAGTAGATGTAGCGATCCTGTTTCCGGATGATGACCGGAGGATAGCCGGCCTGCATCATGATCAGGTTCATCAGCAGACGCGAGGTGCGCCCGTTGCCGTCGGAGAATGGGTGGATGAAGACCAGCTTGTAGTGCGCCAGCGCTGCGTATTTGACGGGGTGGAGTGATAACGTTTCAGGAGCGTTCAGCCACTCGATGAAGCTCTCCAGAAGAGTGTGGATGCGTCCGGGCGGCGGCGGCACGTGCTCGCTAACGTACACCTGGTTGGTGCGCAGCTCGCCAGCCGCGGTCGGATCGGCGTGGCCCATCACCCGGCGGTGGATCTGCAGCAGATCGTCGAGCGTTATCGCACCGACGCGGTTCACCAGCGTGGTGTTGATGTACTTGATGGCCGCGTCCAGGCCCAGGATTTCGTTGTGCTCCATGACGCTGCGTCCGCCGACCGCCATGCGAGTCTCCACTATGGTTCTCGTCTCGGCCAGCGTCATCGTGTTTCCCTCAATGCCGGCCGTGTGGTGGATCTGCTGAAAGTACGCCTCCTTCTTTATCCGCCGCAGCGCCGCGCTTGACTCCGGAATCGCCGCGAGCTCATCTCGCTTGCGGTCGATGCGCTCTAGCTGCGACAGATCATTCTGTTCTACGAGCGGCTGCGTGCGCTGGCGGTTCTGCAGGGCGCGAGAGTGGTCCGGTGCGAAGATGAGCGCGCGCGTATACAGGTGGTTGGCGCGGGTGACGTCGGATCGCTCGAGGAACTCGCCATACTCAGTCAGCACGTCCGGGTGCCGCGGACTGAGCGCCAGCGCGTGCTCAAACAGCTTGCCGGCCTTTTCGAGCTTGCCGAGCCGACACATCTGTGTAGCAGCCTGCAGAGTGTTCCGAGCCTCGTGTTCTTCTTTTTGAACTGTCAGAAAGAATGGAAATAGTTGTCAGCTGAGCTGTTGTCAGCGGGCGTGTTAGCAGTCTCCTCGGACGAAGAACATTCTACGTCGTCCGGCCAATCCCGTTCGATAACCGCAGCCCAGCGCTCGCTGACCCCGAACGGCATTGACCGGACGACGCAGAATCTTCGTCGTGTGGGAGACTCCGAATCCGGGGTATATTCAGCCAGCTGGCAACTGGCGAGAGAGGGCCATGCCAGGCCCAGGAGGACCGTGCTGTCATCTACTTGCACTACATTTAACTTTCTATTCAAATTATTACAGGTGAACCGGGTGCGAGCGGGGTCGGGTAGTGGGTCCATGGTGTCATTCACAACAAGCACTGCTTAGTGGGGCATCTGGAAACACAGTCACTCATTAAACCATTTATAGTTCGTTTTTTTTTTTCAAAAGGACGCTGGCTCCAAGTATGTTTTTCGAACAAGCACGTGTTTTAGCGAGCAAAACGAGCAAAAACTGAACCTGAGAAAATCGAACGTAGACTTATTTTAACATGTGATTTCTTCCCGAAAATTTCTATATGTGCGTTTTGGAACCAGATATGGGAACAGTGGTGACGTCATGCTGTCGAACATGTTTTGCAATGTAACGTATAACTATCATGGACGGAACCGCTTACTCGATTATAAGCTCGGCAACAGTGAAAAACTAAGTTTCACCCAAATTCGTTGACACTTATCCCATTGCACGGACATTTGGGTGCCTGCTGCCACCAGTGACGTCATCAAAGTATGTTCATTTTTAAGAAACAATTTCCAGCTACTTACCGTGCACAATTTGAAATCGATTATTTTTTCAACTGACCATTTTCAACTGACCATCAACTGACCATCAGACCATTTCCTCGTGCAGCGGTGTGCAGCAGGGTGACCCACTCGGCCCGGCGGCTTTCGCGCTGGCTCTAGACCCGATCATCAGAAGAATGCAGTCACCACTAAATGTGTGGTACCTCGACGATGGGACCATCGGAGGTCCGGCTGACCTAGTCGCCGCCGACTTAGCAGTCCTGGCGACAGCCCTGCCTACAATCGGTCTCCAACTGAACGCCAACAAGTGCGAGGTCGCATTTGCCGGTCCAACGCCGCCACCATCACTTTTGGAGTCGCTACGAGGTACTCTCCCAGGACTGAAGGAGACTCTAGCAAGCGATCTCTCCCTCCTAGGATCTCCCTTGACCGACGCTGCGCTGCCTGTCGCCACCACCAGGGCTGCGGCCGTCATAGACCGGATGTGTGCCCGGATCAGCAACCTTGACGCTCACTCCGGTCTATTCCTTTTGGCACACTACACGGCAGCCCCCCGGCTAACCTACCTTCTGCGGTCGGCGCCGCTGTATCGTGAGCCGGGGCCGCTGCTGAATGTCGACAAGACAGTGCGGGAGACCCTCGCCACCGTCACCAACGTCACCATCAATGATGAAGCGTGGGAGCAGGCTTCCCTACCACTGCGTTTTGGAGGACTTGGAGTCCGGTCGGTGATGGCATTGGCCCTGCCGTGTCACATGGCATCCCTCCACGCTTGTCTGCCACTGACGCAAGAGATTCTCCATGCCACCGAGCCTCGCCAGTCGACCCAAGCACTCCAGCGTGCCAGGGCCGATATTGTCGCCAAGCTCGGTGAAGCCGCTCGTCAGGTGCCCCAGTCAGAAGAGTGCAAACAGCGTGCTTGGGATGAGACGTTCTGTAAGATGTCTCAGAAGCGTCTGCTGGACGGGGCAAACCAGGTGGCCCGGGCGCGTCTTCTGGCTGCTGCAGAGCCCCACACTGCCGCTTGGGTGCAAGCACTCCCCATCACCAGTGTGGGACTCCATCTGGATGATGAAACAGTGCGGGTAGCAGTGGCGCTGCGACTCGGGGCGTCGGTATGTGAACCGCATAACTGTCAGCTCTGCCATCGCCCCGTTGACCGACTGGGCCACCACGGTCTCTCCTGTACCAAGAGTGCTGGCCGCCACGCGCGTCACGCTAACCTCAATGACGTGCTGCGGCGGGCACTCAGCAGTACAGGGCTCGAGTGTTTTGGAGCCCACCGGCCTCGACAGAGGTGACGGTCGACGTCCTGACGGGATAACGCTCTTCCCTTTCAGCCGAGGAATGAGCCTTATATGGGACGCCACCTGCTGTGACACCTTCTCAGCAACTGCCGTCATCAGCTCTGCCTTAAATCCCGGCAGCGCCGCCCGCTGTGCAGAAGAACGCAAGCGCGCCCGCTATGCCGCTCTCCGTGAGAGATATGTGTTCATTCCTTTTGCGGTTGAGACTTCTGGTGTCCTGGGTCCGGCGGCCACAGGTCTCATGAAGGAGCTTGGCCGTCGGCTGACGTGCCGCACCGGGGACAAACGAGAAACAGTCTGGCTGGCACAAAGGGTTTCAATCGCTGTGGCAAGGGGCAACGCTGCCTCCGTGCTGGCCACAGCTAAACCAGCAGCGGCCAACAGACCGGGACCGTCACCGACGCCATCGTCCAGGCTGACCCCGAGCATGAGCACTCCGTCAATCGAGGCACCGGATGACGAGTCTGCTGCGGGGCCGCCGCTGGACTCAGTGGCTGACCCACCGGACCACCCACCACCACTGACCCCTGCGGACGGCTGTCGAGAGGAGCTGCGCATGACACGCTCGCGGTCCTCTTCCCTGTGCTGTCCCGGAGCGTGCGCGTGTCCGACTCTCAACAGCAGGTCCAGGATTTGAGCGGACCGTGGCCTGCTCAATGCTCATGCAAAGTGTGAATGTTGTATGCGTTCTGCTCTACACGTAGGCAGTTGATCGCTTTAAAGATGATGCTGTGCCGATGCCGAATGGATGGGCTCATGCTTATACAACTCTTCTCTAAAATATACATTTCATGCTTTCTTATTTTTTCGGTAATAAATTCTTGGCCAGACACTGAAGATGCCAAAACTCACGTGAGAGCTTCGATATTGAACTTTGAGCCAGCGTCCTTTTGAATAAAAACGAACTATAGCCAAAATTTCTATATAAGAACTAAACAAAAACTCCCTTGGGACAATCACATTTGTTCATGATGGTGAAGAAAACCGGAACTAACAAAGACATTACTACTTATTCACAAACTTCTTTTTGTGATAACAAAACAGGATATTGACAATTATGACAGGACAAACCTGACCGTAAATGATGGGCTCAATAAACATTCAATAAACTGAGTAAATTGAAGCCCATTGATGTGCAGAGCATAGGAGATATTGAAACTGAGCATGACATCATAAAGTTCCTATGATGGCATAAAGTGGAGCATACTGTCATATGTATAGAAAAGATAGTTGATGAACATATGAAAATAGAGCTCAAAAACATAACTTAAGAGTAATTTCCACTCTTAATGCAGTTTTGGAATGCAGCTGGTTTACCAACCAGGTGAGCTTTCAATTTTTCAGTTTTTTTTTTCTAGATTCAGGAGTTCAGTCTAACAACAGACCAATTTCAATGAATTTTATCAACAACATTTGTTAGTACCTACTACCTACCTATTGAAAGGACCAAAAATTAATTGGTGGGTATTCCAAAAAGTACATGCAACATTGAACAGCTAGTACATGAAACAGCATGACCTGAAAGAGATGGGTCTGATATTAGTCATTTTCAGAAAAGATCAAACAACACTGAGGAGACTGGACAAGTTCCATTTTCAGATAACCCCTGGGACATCACTTGGAGGAAATATGCAGTTCACAATATAAACTATTGATAAATAAAGGCAAAGCAGGAAGGATTAAAAAATGAATACTTTTAATCAAAAAAATAAATGTAAAAACAATACAGCTTTTATCAGTATAAGTATGTGAAAATGAGGTCCAAGCGGTGCCTATGCAGGCTGGTAGGTTGGTACCTGCCTAAGTTTGACGATGGTGAAAACCTGAAAAAAAATCTCCTGGGGCGATTTGATCAAGGTTTGTGAAATTCACACGTGACATTTAGCATGTAGAAGGCTGACGGAGGGGGAGAAGCTCCAAATGTCACTTGACTAATATGCCCTCCGGCGCCCTGTTTTCACCGGCGTCCCCTAAGTTGTAGGATGGTAGGTAGGTAGTAGGCTCGTAGCCAGTAGGTTGTAGGTATGTAGGTTGTAAGTTTGCAGGTTGAAGGTTAATAAGTTCAGTAGGTACCTAAGGTTAGGTCAAATAAAATTGTTTTTTATTTACTTGGACTTAATCTTCACTACTTTTAACTACTTCAACTACACCTTTTCTCTACAGTGTAGGGCTCTGTCCTACTCTTCTAAAGTTACTTCAGGAATTCATATCAATATTCCTCTGGATTTTAAGTCAACAAATGCCTTCTTTGGTTTCCTTGTATCCAGATGTGCAGTGTGCACCCTTACATTTTATTTACGACAGCCTGAGAACACTGTCAGCTTCAGCGGACCTAGAGCAAGGCTGGAAGGGAAGTTAACTTTTTTTCCAAATGATAGGCATTCTGGAGACCTTTGACATTAGATTACTGATATGGGCTAAGCCCAAAACACACAGAAATATGCCCACAAACTAATTCAAAGACAAAACATTGACATTCACAGCAGGTCATGTGTAAAATAAATACCTTGGTACTGAAATACTTACTCTCTTGGTCAGTCTTGGAATTTTTAGGTGCCAAATCAGTTCCAGGGTTGAACTTATTATTAAAAACATCACTTTGAAGATAAAGGTCATCTTCAACTGGAATAAATGAGACCCTTGACTTGGCACCAAATCCCAAATTTGCCCATAGCTGTACAGAGTCAAAAATACAAGAACACAAAAACGAAACAAATATTCCCAGAATAAAAACTACTAAAAGTGTTATCTTTGACATCGTTTAATTAAATACGACATTCCACACAATTTAACCCACACGGACATAATTTGTTTTCAGTGCATCAAAACAAGTGTAAAAGTTTACGTGCAAGTTTACGGCTCGTTTTTTGTTTCGCAGTCAGCGCAGCGTCAAAGCCAGGAAAAACTAGCGCAGAAATCTCTAGCTGAAAAGAAACAAGCAATATTGTCCCAAGAATAGGCCAATGTAGCTTCTTGTAAATGCGATTTTGATGCTCCATTGATCATAGAGGATCTGGTTGATCTGGATTAGGATGATATCGGATGTCTAGATGTTATCCCTCGAAATTAGTTAAAAGTAGGTGCTTATTTTATGTCTGCACACATTTGTTTCAGCTGCAATAGGTTCGTAGTTAGGCATTCATAACACTTCTTATTTAATACACGCAATTCTAAGCATTTTTTTGAAAATGTATGGAAAGCCATAATGCAAGAAAGGACATAAACATCATACGAACTGTCAAAATACCGTTCTCTGAAGATAAATGTTCCTTTCTGGATTCTGGATGACCACTAGTGCTGCTCAGTGCGTTCTTATTGTTAATTCATCATTTCTGTAAGTCAAAATGCAAGTTGCATTTCGACTTTGGTCTTTTCTCGAGACCGTTTGTGACCGTTTGATGTAGTTAGGAGTATAAGACCGTTTTCAGTGTTGCTTGAGATGTTTCACAAATTTCCTGGAAATATAGGGAATTACGTTGTGTTTTTCTTGCTTGCGGAGCTTTCTGTACTTCTAAAAAATATACATGTGTCTCAAATATAGACATGTCTGGCGCAGACGTGACAGTTCGGTCGAAAATTGGCATTCAATGATCGTGTATATTTGTCGTAGCTATTAAAGGAAATAGTTCACTTTCACGAAATTATTTTTTTTGCAACGATTTATGATTTTTTTATGTTCAAAATAATCAGCAAAGAAAATAAAACCTTTTTATAACAAAAGATTTTTTTTCTATATTTTGATATAGGAAGAACTTTTCAGTTTCTGTAAGGCACACGCGATCCAGTATGAAAAGAGCATGGGTCCCGAAAATTCTTCAGAAACAGAGAAATTATCGCAGCCACCGGCATTTGGGCGATCTGCTCGATCTGATAATGTTCCCCTGAATGTCCTAATTGATCAGTACGAGAATTTCTCTAGAGTTCTCGTAGATAATTTCTCTAGTTTCTGAAGAATTTTCGGGACCCATGCTCTTTTCATACTGGATGGAAATATATGCAAGGCACACATCCTCAACGCAAGACACCTTTTTCGGGACGAGAAATAGAATATCTTTGCCTAGGGTGATCGTTGGGCTGTAAAAGCTCCTGATTTATGCTCGTCTCAGCCTAAGCTACGGAACTGCTATTCCAGTTCAAAACCCATGTTAAAAAGTGAACTATTTCCTTTAACGTTGCGGACAAAACTTAGGCTTATGACGTAACGACTTTTCTTATGATTTTCAACAGCCTTATGCCTTTTGTAGCGACAAAAGCGGGTCTTGCGCCACGCAACTGTCCTTCCCGTGACTCGTAAGTTAGTGGATAAGGCGTCTGTCTTCTAACTCGGTGGCAGCGAGTTGGCGCCCGGGAATTTCCCCACGTCGTTTGACCCGTTTGACCCTCGTGTCTATGCCTATAATAAGCCAGCTGGCAACTGACGAGAGAGGGCCACGCTCAGGGGTGTAATTTTCCTAAAGTGATTGTGGGTGCCAAGCTGTAGGGGCGCCAAGCCGCTTTGGGGCGCAATGGATATAATTTATGTGGGGGCCTGTGGGGGCCGAATTTGATAACATTGCAAGCCGAAGGGCGCTTCAAGCGACATGCCTGACTAAGCAAATACACGGTTAAAAGTGTAAAGTGGCTGGAAGGGCGTAAAAAATGTAAAGGGGCGCCAAACGGTTACGAGGGCGTCATGAGACCATTAAAGGGCGCCATTCTCCTAGAAGGGCGCCGAGTGATTGAAAACATTACATGGTCCAGGGGCGCTGAGATGCCAGAAGGGCGCCGAACAGTCAGCAGCGCTAAGTTGGTGGGGACGTAGGGGCGCCAGACGGTTACGAGGGCGCCGTGAGACCATAAAAAGGGGGCCATTCTCCTAGAAGGGCGCCGAGTGATTGAAAACGCTATGTGGTCACCAGGGGCGCTGAGAGACCAGAAGGGCGCCGAACAGTCGAGGGATGCACGGTGGACAGAGACATAAGGACGCGAAACAGTCAGGAGGGCGCCGTTAGATCATGAGAAAGGCGCGGTGCTGTCAAAAGGGCGCCATTCTTCCAGAAACGCGCCGAGTGATAAAAAACGCTATATTATACAGGAACGCGAGACGATCAGGTCACCGTTAGAGCATGCGAAGGGCCCGTGCTTTCGAAAGGACGCTTGTAAAAGACTTGTGGATGCATTTTCATCATTGCGGGAGCATAATGCAGGATTGTGGGTGCATCTGCTCCCACAAAGAGATATGAAATTACACCCCTGGCCACGCTAGAACCGGTAGGACCGTGCCGCAATCCACCTGCGGTACGTTAAGCTTCCGATTCAATATCACCGGTCACCCGAGGGCGGCAAGGTGGGTCCGTGGCAGGGCCTCGTCTAAGGAATTTTCACTGGGGGGGCCAGAGACTGAATGAGCCAAACCTAGGGTACCCCCAAATCCTGTTTTCTCACCGGATTTAGACCACTCATTTTTCATCACAGCCCTGACACCATAAATTTTTTTTTTTTGAAAACTAAAAAAAAGTAGGCCATCCGACCCATGCTTGTATACCTATTAGTTTATAGCCTCCTCACATTGCCCCATCAGACAATAATAATCACACTTCTCGTTGAGCATGTGATTGAGTGGCAGTGCCTTGTCTAAGGAATTTGCATGCCGTGCCTTATGTCGAGGGCCCACACGCATATATATTTTTTTGCGAACCACATCGGTTTCTGATGGGCCCCGCTAAGCGCTCGATGCCGATCTCTGAGTGCTAATGCCAACTTCTGGACCTATACTTCGGCCTCTATGGTAGCCATAGCCAACACTGGTTTTATATGATCCATACCACTACCAGGCTTTAAGGGTCAATCTGAGAGTGGAGACCGTATTTTCCCACTAGGGCCCCCTCAGACCAGTGTAATGCCTGTGTATCAACTTGGAGACTGATGGCTTCTCAGGTGGATTCTCCGTAATCGCCGTTGATCTTCAACACAACCCCCCTGGGTGGTCGTCAGAGGCTATAAACTAAACAAAAATGAAGATTACCCCGTGTAGTAGTGCTCTGAGGCCCGTTGGGACCCTAAATGGCTGGCATTTGCCCTCCATGACTCCATGCCGACTTCTTTAGATAATCCAGCTGTCAGAGTTCCCGTCCCCACAGACAGACCACCAATCTGGCATCTGCGCCTACGTACGACCACCCAGAATGGGAGCCTGCTTCATTACGATTAGGAGCTACTCTAGCCGCACACCGGTGACCGTCCAGCCAGAAGTTGGACGCCGCATAGCGAGGACGACGATAGGCAAAAACAAGAGATTGACGCCCCGAGGACAGAAACAATTCAGATTGATACCTAAAGGAGAAATTTTCGCCGGTAGAGCCTTGGACTCCGCGTGGTGAGGGCACGCGTCCCAGTTATAACAGTCAGTGACGTACCCAAAGGGGGGGGCACGGGGGCCATGGCCCCCTCCTGAGCGCCGAAGGCGCTCAGGGGCCCCTCAAGCCCGGTATATTTTTTCAAACACTGGATAAAACGTCTTTTACTAGGAAGAAAAAATGATATCAAAGTTTCATTTATGTGCCCCTGGTTACCCGAGGGGCCCCTGATGACCCGATGGGCCCCTGCAGTCATCCGAGGGCCCCGGTTTCCTGGGCTCCTGGTCGCCTAAGGGGCCCCTGGTAGCCGGGGCTTGGTTGCATGGGGGCCCCTGATTGCCTGGGGTCTAGTCACCTAGTCGCCCCCTAGTCGCCTAGGGGGCCCTGGTAGCCGGGGCCTGGTCGCATGGGGGCCTCTGGTCGCATGGACCCCTGATCGCCTGGGGCCCCTAGTCGCCAGGGGGCCCCTGGTAGCGGGGGCCTGGTCACATGGGGGCCCCTGGTTGCCTGGGGCCCCTGAGGGCCCTTAGTTGCCTGGGGCCCCTGGTCGGCTGGTCGCCTGGGCGGCCTGGGGCCCCGGGTGACCTAAGGGCCCCTTCGGAAGCAGGTGGCCCCCTCCTGGGCGAAATCCTGGGTACGTGCCTGATAACAGTCCGCGTTCGAAGCGCGACATCGCTCGATCTTTATGAGCCTCCTGGCGAGTAGGGGAGAGTGGGGCAAAGCGGCCACCCTAACGTTTCTAACGATGCCGACGCTTGATTTTTAAACTTGGAAAGATTCTTTCTATACCAATGTGATCCCTATTAAATTGTCTTTTATTCCAACTGCGTTTCATTTCCAAAGGCGTTCACATATGGGAGATATTGACAAAACTTTAAACCTATAGCATATTGGCCACTTTGCCCCATCCCTGAGGCAAAGCGGCCACTGGCGACTTCTCAAGTCCCGATATGAGAAACAGAATAGTTGCCTCATGCACGACTAGGGTATTTGATGGTGACAAGGTTTAAGGGAAGATGGATGTTTACTTTGTTATCTTCCCACCTATTGCTAAACAAAGAAAGAATTTTCTTGGAAAAACATTTAATTGCATAATTTGGTAACTCATGTAACCGAAAAGTGGCCAAGATGAATGCATGACGACACATTTGAATATAAATAATGTTTTTATCCAGATGGAAACAACTTATGGCCAATTGGGGGCTGGCCACTTTGCCCCGGCCGCTTTGCCCCGCGCATACCGTCCGAGACAAAAATATTCCAGCTCAGCTATTAGTGGGGTAAACAGCATTAAAATTGGTAGAAGGCATGTACGATAACCACGCAATGCATGGACAAAAACGCTTATAAAAATTCCAAACGGTTATGGAATAAAATAACATTTAAAAATTGTAAACATAATTGGTAACCTGGCAAGAAATGCTTTTCCGTGTTTCACAGAACAATGGCGATGGGCCTGAAACCCCGGTCTGGCTCATTCGAACGACCGCAAAGAGAAGTATAATTGGAAATCATAAATTGGAACTGACGCCAGCTGTG